TTGAGAATTGTCGTTTCATCATAATTTTGTGTATAATAATAAACGTTTAATTTGCATTGCACTAAGTTTTGTGTATAATGTTCTTTAGAAGAAATTGAAGACTGAATTATAATGAAAAGAAGTCAACATTTTGAAGCCAAACAAAGAGAAAATGTCGGTAAAGAGGACTTCTCGTTAATACTTAGAAATAAAACACTCGCGGTACTAGCTTTAAGTTTGAAATAAATATATATATATATATATATATATATATATATATATATATATTTGTTTATCAAGCGTTATACATATATATATTTATCAAACGTTATCTATCTATCTATCTATCTATCTATATATATATATATATATGTGTGTGTGTGTGTGTGTGTGTGTGTGTGTGTGTGTGTGTGTGTAAGTAATATAATGGGTTGCCTTTAGTACCTTCTTACTTAATATCATTTAGCAATCTATCTATACGAGGATTGTCAGGTAAGTATCCAACTAGCCACTTCAAAATAATCTAGGTATCTCCACTCATTCGCGAATTTTTGTAAATGAAAAATCTTTCTTTTTAGCTTTAATTGAAAGCTAAAGGGTTAAATTTACTATTTCCAGTAAACAAAATACTCTGGTGTATTTCAAACAGAAATTATATTGACTGGAATCAATTTTTTTTTCTAGAATAGCTGAAGAGCGGCCTTTTTTTGTCGCCTTTCATCGCAATATAATTCTCTCTATTAAAAAAATCTTCCAAAAATAAAATATACTTTTCTTAAACTTTATTTGCGAAATAATGGCTGATTTAATGTATAATAAATCGGATTTGAAATAAATATTATTTACTTTAAGTTTAAAATAACACAAAAATGTATTTTAAAAACAAATAGTAACTGTGTTTTTAACCGACATCGCCATGTTTTACACAATTGCCGAGGCGATGACAGATTGATTGTTGTTCTACGGAGACTTTATATGTAAAACATAATTTAAGAAAATGACGTGAGTACCATTTTTATATAATTTTTAAGTACTCCGTAATCTAATTTTAGGAATGTTGACTTTAAATTTACTATAGTCATTGCTCTTATTTTCTGATAATGTCGTGTCTGGTCGACCACATTTTCGAATATGGGCACGTTACTTAATATTTTATCTGCAAAAAAAAAAACAATTGAAAATTATTTTAAAAATCTTAGTGCATAATGATTTTCAATTTTTGATTACTAAATATAGTTTTGATTTAATTGACAATATCACCTAATGAGATTAAAGTAATGTACAATTTAAAAAGAGTTTTTTTAATTTTTTTTTAATTATTATAATAAATTATTTTTCCATTAAAAAAAAAGGAAAACAATTTTTGTAAAAAATCACTATTCATCGAATTTTTTCCTTAATAAATCTTATTTCTAAATGTGATTAAACGCTTTTCTAATTAAATAATGTGTTTTATTGCATTTTTATTTTGCGATTCGGAGAAATTTTTGGGGAAATGAGTAGAAGTTTGAAAAAAAAATTTTGATTTACATTCTCCAAAGAGTCCTGTTATTCACTAATAAAACTAATTTTTTGATGAAAATTAAATTTCTTAAAATTTCATTAAATTAATTGTGGGAGTAACTTACGTAAAAAAACATTTTTCCAAGATTTTCTAAGAGAAAAAAATTCAAAAATAATTTCATTCATTTGTGAATAAGTCCTGAAAGTTTCATTAAAATCTGACAATTATTTGATTTTTGCAAGGATTTCCAAATCAATATGTTTTTCATGGAAAAAGGCGCTAAAACAGTAATTGTTACGTTGACCGCTAACGCGAAAAAACAAGAATTTTAACCGAAATTTCGAAAAATTTCATAAAATAATAAAAATAGTTTGTTTTTTCCTCCTAACAATAACATAAATATTTTGTCGATAAAACTTTGTTTTTATTAAGTTTTAACTTTTTCATCATGCTATGCTGTTTTTTCAGCGAAATAGTGAAGGTATATAGCTTTTTATATATAAGTGTTTGTCGCTTTATTTGAGTCCAACAGCAATATAAATATTCAAATGTTCTGTCCATGGTATTCTCAGCATCCTTCTGTTGAACTGCTTTAAGTCTCCTTTTCATTTGTGAGGAAATTGTCCAGCATTCACTGCAATGTAGAAGGACTGATATTACATAACCATTCAGCACTCTTTTCTTTGTTTCTAACGAAATCCTCCTGTTTCTTAATACTTTGTTTAGCTTTTGGAAGACGTGAGGAGATTGTCAAGCATTCACTGCCATATAGGAGGATTGATATTACATAGAAGTTCATCATTCTTTTCTTTATTTCTAACGAATGTTTCCTTTTTCTTTATACTCTGCTTAGCTTTTGGAAGGCTTCTTTCGCTATTCTAATGCGCCTACGGCTTTTAGTGACACATTTTCCGTCTTCTGTTAAAACACTTGCCAGAATTTAAACTTTTCTAGACACTGATGTTAAATAACGCTACTACTACAAGGGATATTCAAATTATAGCAGAACTGACTTAGAAAGAGGTGGGGAAAACGGAACCCCATTCGAAACTGGGACACTTCCTGTACATGTTTGATCAGTAGGGTTAGTAATTGGTTACTTTCATGACAAAGAAATACATTTTTTTATAACGATGTTTGACAATGTTGAGAAAAATATTCAGTTTCTGCTAATGGAAAGATTACTAAAAGATATTTTCTTGGGATAAAACGAGTAAAAATCAAAAATTGCTTTAAAGAATTCAGAGTCCAGGACAAATTACTCCAGTTCTTTCTTTTTTGTCTACGGAAATAGAATAAGTTGATAATAATGTCACCATTTAGTAAAAATGACATGCTGTTATGTTAGCGTCAAGTTCACTGATTATTTGACTTCCTGTCTTAAGCCGCAGCTCTCAGAATGAGTGACAAAGATAAAGATTTATGTGGCACGATGTCTGCCGCAGGTTTTTCGCCTTGCAACGCTTTAAAAGACTATTTCATCAGCATCTAAGAAGACTTGTGAAATTACGTCTTTCCTTTTTAGTCCCTTCCCATTTCTATTAACAGAGAAAAGTGTTCCCAAAATTCCAAGTTCCGTCCGGAGTGGTCTTTCATGTTTATTTATACGAGTCAAGGTCGATATAAAACCAATTTGAGAAAGATGAGAGGAAAGTGAGACGGGAGGTGAAGGGATAATGTGGAGGAAGAAGAAGAAGAAAAAGAAGAAGAAGATTTCTAACAAGGAAATCTGGCGGCGATATATTTGCGTTTAAATTAAATTCTATATATATATATATATATATATATATATATATATATATATATATATATTAGCCGATAAGTAGTAGCTTCGTAGTTAGAATATTGAACGACATGAAAATCATGTGAATTGTCGTTGAATTCCTAGGATGAGGATGAAGCAGAAATATCACAATTCAAAAGTGAGTGACTCTTCATGCTTATTTTGCAAAACTCAATGGTTTTATGGAATTGGCTAAATTGTTTTTCGTACTGTTCATTAAATATCTTGTCTAACCACGTACACATCTCTCGTTGATAATCAGTGAACGTCGATCGGAATCATTTAAGATCTGCGTAGGCTGGTCCTTAATATCCTTCCAAGAATACCATGTCAATATGACACCCATGAACATCAAGGAGCCATAGATCTATATGTAAATTCATTTTTTGCTTGTAAGCTAAAGAGTAATATGCCATAAAAAATGCAAAAAACAAGTAACATTATTACTAGAAGCAAAATAAAATATGAGATTGTCACACATGAAATGACAAATTTGGTTGGTTCTTGATCCGGTCGTTTAATGAAGTAACCTCCTTAATATATATATCTCCTGACTTTTTTTTCCTTTCCAGATAATTTTTCTTTCAATATATTGTTACTCATAAGCCCAGTGAAGATGATTACAATGAAACAATGTCGAGTGATTTTACTGTACAAACTTGGAAAAAGAACCATTATATACGATCAGAAATGGATACTCTTTAACAACGAGAAGAGAGTAGGCCAGTGGTTAGATGCAATTGAATCATCAAAACAATACCCAAAACATCGACTGCACCCCAAAAGGTTAATGGTTACTGTATGGTGGTCTTTCAAAGGGGTTATTCATTATTCATTCTTGCTCAAGGGAAAACAATAACAGCAATCTCGTATTGTGTTGAAATTGAGTGCCTGCTTGAACAATTGAAAAAGAAACATCCTAGACTTGTGAATCGAGATGACCGAATTTTGTTGCACGACAACGCACGGCTGCACTCTTCTAAGTTAACTGTCCAAAAGTTGCAAAGCCTGAATTATGAAAAACTTTGCTTCAGTCCTCCATATTCACTTGATATCTCTCCTGATTTTAAGCTTTTCATACGCAATAAAACATTCTCCAATACGGAAGAGGTAATTGAAGCATTCTGAACTGTTTATCACATCAAAAGATGAGAATTTTTTTAAAGATGGGATCAAGAATTTAGAGTTGAGTTGGAGAAAAACATTCATCAACATGGTGCCTATTTCAACTAAATAAATAATGGCCGTTTAACATTCAAGAAGCGTTTTATCAATTTCCTAGTGCGTCATTTCATATGTGACACCTTAATATTTTATATTTACATTTTTAAAAGATAAATAAATCCTAGCGTCTCTTAAAAGGAAACGATGCCAAACCATCCGTAGTGTGAATATTTTCTTTCGTTTTTGCTTTTATTTTATTTTTTTTAAACTACCTTTGTTTAGACAAACCAAACCAACTTCTTTCGTCCTAGCAATAACAGTATCAAAATGTTAATTCCTAGTCAATTAGTTATAGAACAACAAAAAATTCTTAAACTCTAAACCCCGATGGCACATTATTTTTATCAAACAATTAAAGGAAATTTTAAATGATTATAATATCGTTTTTTATTTAAGTTTTTAACTAGACAATAAATCATACTTAGTCATCAACCACCTCAACCAGTTCAGAACCGTAAATTCTATTCTAATAGTTTCTTCACTCGTACTCCTTAGCTTACAGCTTACATATTGAAACACCAGTTTCCGTACGATCACCGAAGTTAAGCAACGTCGAGCCTGGTCAGTATCTAGATGGGTGACCACTTGGGAAAACTGCTGTAAGATTAGATATGCGGGGGGTGTAATGGATAATTGACCGGAATTGTTAACCGGAGAGCCGAGTTATACCTTTGAGAAAGATATGAATCCACCTCTTCTCCCTCCAGCTATGGGTTAATTAGTAAGATTTGTATCACTAAACCCTTATTATCTAAAAGAATTCTTATAATGTAAAAATACTGGCTTTAAATAACCTTCAAAGGGTTGATAAGCTGTAGAAAACGAATCAATCTTCCAAGGAGCCCCAGCTTTTGTAGCTGGTTACAGAAATTTATCATTGTCAGTCCAGTCTCTTTGCGTTGAACATTGTTGTATATAACCCACTTTTCATCACCTGTTATATTTAAGGGACGATTAGTTAGGGTGATACATTCGTCATTAAAACTGGTTTCCCAAAACAGAAATTAATTATGACTTAAGCCAATAGATCTTCGGTTAAGATTTTCGTTATAATCACTTTCGCGCAAATATCATTTGGAATGGTATGGATCTAGCTATTCTCCCTCAGACATGGATTAATTAGTAAAACTTGTATCCTTATCATTATTATCTAAAAATAAATCTTACAATCTAAAATCATTTTCTGGCTTTAAATAACCTGCAAAAATGTTGATAAGCCGTAGAAAGCGAAACCACCAATAAATGAAATACTGATGTGCTACACAGGCATATCTTTTAGATTTATTTACATTATTTGGAATATGTAGAAATTACTATGGTCACAAAGAGAGGGATCATATTATATATTAATTGTAATATAGAATTGATCCCCCACTTTATATCCACATTATAATTTCTTTTTTTATCAAATTCTTATTAGTGATGAATCTAGCTCTTCTCCTAGAAGCTATGGATTAATTAGTAAAACCTGCATTACTAGACTATTAATATCCCCCCCTCCCAAATCCTTACAACCTAAAAATAGTTCCCGGCTTTAAATAATGGTTGAAAAGCAGTTATCCATTACCCCATCTGCATATCCAAGCTTACTGCACCTGATATTCTAAACGATTACCCATCTAGGTACTGACCAGACTCGACATTGCTTAACTTCCCTAATCGTACGAGAACCGGCGTTTCAACGTGATCTGGCCGTAAACCCACTACTACCCGTACACATCGAAGCTTACAGCATCTGGCATTTCTAAGCGGTCTCTCATCTAGGTATTGACCAAGTTCGACGTTGCTTAACTTTAGTGATCGTACAGGTGCGGGCGTTTCAACGTAAGCCCAGTTCTACAGAAAGATACTGAAAATTGTATGGACGGAGTGAATAAGCAACAAGGATGTCTTAAAATTGGCAACAGAAAGAACACTTCTACTTAGGACCAGGAAAAGACACAAAACGAGGAAGGAGGGCTTGGAAAACTTAACCCTCACAGGGTGTATTGAGGCCAAGAGAGATAGGAGTAGACAGAGAGCCACTTACCTGACAAACTTTTGTGAATGTCTGACGGAACGTGAATGGGAGTCATAGCCAGCGGAGAAGTAATTGTTAAGAGCCAAAGGACATAGGAAGTTGGGAAGAGTCATTGTCGGCCCATAGAAGAAGATGGCTTTTAACCTGAGTATGAAGATCAAACAATAGTTAAATACGTACCTATATCAGCCACGATAAAGGCTGATGCTTTCTCCTTATATATCAAAGTTTAATTCCGATAGGGAAACGTCTATAAACTCTTCTAAAATAGTCAGATATAATACATCGAACCAATTCTCAAGAGCTATTCGACTAATATCATATTAACGTGTATGTGGAAGTTCATACCAAATGTGTTTCCTTTTATGTTTTGGGAGGTCGGCTATTTTTCTTTTTCAGATGTCTTTCCAGTTCTTCTCTCGTCCATTTTCCAATAATTAACTGTTTCAAGCATTCGAGGTCACGTGACTTAGCCTGCTTTCCGAACAGACGATAACTTTTTTCCTGATAGACTTGGGCTTACAGAAGTTACTATATCATCCACTGTGGGGAAAAAATGTAATATCTATTAAATGACAGAAATGTATAACTGCTAGACTCTTGATAATATGGGGCAATTCACGAGATTGATTGGAACCCTTAAACAAAAAATAAGTAACATCATCTGACGTGTGTGCGGGTAGTGCAACGGATATCAACATGGAATCGGAGAGCCGAGTTCAAATTCTGGTGTGGTCAGTTGCATTCACTTTCACACAATTACCTTTTGGGAAAGGCTTGAATCTTATCTCCATCTGTGCATTAAATAGCTGTGCATTACGAACTCTAGCCTTAGGTGGCACTCAGTCTAAGAGACGGGAAACACTGAATGCGAAACCGTGACGTCGCACTCCACTACTTTCTTCAAGAATGCATGACAATTCGCTTATAATTAAGAAAAGGAAACTGTGGAGAGCCATGATCGACTGCATCATCATCTTCATCACCATCAGTCTCATCAGATCAGCATCTAAGAAGCCGTGTGAAATTACATCTTTCATTTTGGTCCATACCTTATTTTTATTAAATTAAAAAAAAATTATTCCCAGAATTTCTTGTTCTGTCTGGATTGCCCCGTCATGTTTATATACCAGATAAGCACCACATATTTGGCCGGAAAGCCAGATTTATACATTGGTAGAGTGTCTTGCTTAAATAGACCTGACGAAGCCCATCCCTCTCCAGGTAAAAAAAAAATCACAACTGATGTCTTCTAACCTGAAACGATTGACTTTGCACTTAAACTTTTGAAAGTCAAAGTTGACTGGGAAGCAAGAAACCGGGAGAAAGTTTCACAGGCTAGAAGTGCGAGAGAAGAAACTGTTAGCATAGAACTTACGGTTATATCTAGCCATTTCAACTGTAAAATGATGAGATCTTGCCTCCAATCTAGTATTGCGCTTAAATTCATAGAGTCTAGGTTCCATAGAGAATAAATCCGAAAAAAACCCCCAAAAGAATAACAAAAACAAAAGCATTGAAAGTCGCATCCGTAAACCAACCAACTGTTCCTTGTACCCTTTTAGAAAGTACCTTGTACCCTTCTAGAAAGTACCTTGTACCGTTCTAGAAAGTACCCAAATCCTCCTGATATTCTCTATCTTTACAAGAGCCAGATCAGACCAAGAATGGAGTATTGATGCAATATATGTGTTGGAGTTTCCCAGCCCTTACTTTGTTTTGTGACGTACGGTGGCCGTTAATAATTAAGTATAACTCAAGACTTCAATGTTAAGATAAAACAGTATTTAATTACAACAGCAAATAAATACTTAACAAGAATAAAGAAGTAAAAGTCAACGAAAGATAATTAAACATCTCAGTGAATACTTTGTTAGTAGCGCGGCTCGGGTTAACGTCCGGTCAATCCTAAATCAAAACCCAAATTCTCGAAGCACAATAATTCACACTAATTCGACTGGATAGTTCCACTCAATAATCACCCAATAATCACTGCAGTCAGTAACCTGACATCGCTATTTTGACACCTGGCGGAATTCATAAGTCCAGAGAACCTCGGTGTCAGTAATTACTCATTTTCTTTCTATATGACACTCTGCCACCTTTGGTCGTTTATATTTGAGTCTCCCTTTTGTTGTGGGCGATGAATTGTCTTCCACACTACAACCCCTTACCCACAGACGAAACTATGTTAGTATAAGACTCTTTTTATGGTAGATCATCGGGTGAAATATATTCCTTGATTCAACCAGTTCAAGTCGTCAAAGCTAAGTTCCACCGGCCACGTGCACTGACACGAAGCATCCATATTCAATTTATATACCATTTGTAAGAAAGAAGTTCTAACCAGACATATTCTCCCACAGAACTGTTGTATTTTGGCATAAACATTTACCTCTCCTTGAACCAAGTAAAGTGAGACTCAAATATAGACGACCAACATTTACCTATCCCTGAACCAAGTAAAGTGAGACTCAAATATAGACGACCAACATTTACCTATCCCTGATCCAAGTAAAGTGAGATTCAAATATAGACGACCAACAGTTACCTATCCCTGAACCAAGTAAAGTGAGACTCAAATATAGACGACCAACATTTACCTATCCCTGATCCAAGTAAAGCGAGACTCAAATATAAACGAACGATATTTACCCATTTGAGAATTATGTAAAGTTTTATAGAGCCAAATATATAAAAGTAAATTTTAACCTATCTATGGACCCAGTAAATGCCTATATATTTATATATAAATGACCAATACAATATTTACCTATCCCCAAGCGCATAATATAAAGTTGGCTACCAATTCTTTCAAAATATCGAATGACGTCATTTTATGTACATGTGTCATGCGCAACAGTCGCATTTACAATAACAATGTATCAAGTTTTGTTTGAATATCCGTGGGGACTATTTAACTGATTATGATGGCTTCTGGGAATGAATCAATAATGAATTGTTTGTACTGACGATTTAAATTAGTTCTGGAATCCATGAAAAGCGAACCACTATCTGGAAGGCATTTGAACCAGCAAATCACTCGAAAACTTTGTAGGTGTGCGAGCTGCTTTTGGCAATCGACAGAATGAGAGTTTAATCAACGAACTAAATGATAGGAGAATGAAGAGCAGCAACTTCCTCGTCCTGGATAAGACGATAAACTACATCCAGCAACAGTATCTCTGATCGGGAGATTTTAAGGAGTGTCAAACCACCTCTTGATTACTTTCGTTCCTAGGTACACCCTCCACCAGGGTTGTAGCACCTGTTAGGGTCCTGACTATGGGCAAATAGTTACTAAGAAGGGTAGGTCAGGTTGTGCAACCAATATCGAGTCACATATTATAGAATTTTAAAGATAAAGTAGAATAATTTCAGTAATACTCAAACTCACATGAGTACCTGGTCAACTGTTTAGAACGCATTCTAATAATGTCCCAGTTTAAATCTCGCCATAGTTGAGTTGTCGAGGTGGTAACCTTGATAATATTGGCCTGGGAAGACAATCCCAGCATTCAATAATGTTGGAAAATATACATTATTTGGACTGTTATCCTCATCTTCATTGCTATATTCACAATGTTTTGGTCGTTGTACGCTTCAGCCTCCTTCAGGTAACTGGATAACTGAGACATCTGAAAGAAGAATGGCATATAGAACTAGAACAATCTATCCCAGCGGACGAAACAAAGGGTTCGGTTCGAAATTCCAATTACCTGAAGAAGGCCGGAGCGTACAACAGCCGAAACATTGTGAATATGACAATAATGATGAGGATAACAGTCTGAATAATGTAAATAATGCAAGTAATCATAATACCACATCTCAGAGATATTGACAGATATTGGAAAGTGTCTAAAAAGCATACCCTGGGTACATCCTGGGTATGACGATAAACTACATCAGGTAGCAAGTCCTCTGATCGAGAGAATTACTGTTGTTCCCTGATCCAGATTGCAGCACTTGTTATGTTCCCAACAATGGACAAATAATTAACCCCCAAACTGGATTCGAAAATTATGAAAGTATAAAAATATATTTTCACAGTAAAAAATACCAGCAATAGATTTTGGGGAAAAAATTACAAGCAATACATTTTTGTAGATGAAATTATTAATGCCCTCAAGAAAATTAAATTTCGGCATTAAATAAACCCAAAAGATTTGATATGCCGCTAAACAAACACATTTCCAGTCTTGTGTCATACTTTTTATGTTTTAAACCAAGTAAATATAGCAAGGATTGATATCTCATTATATGAAACAACTTAACTACACCAAAACCATTATTTGTTAAGTTCTTTATAAGAAAGTCTTACACTTGGAATTAAAATTTCCATCACATTCTGCTAACAGATTTATTTCTGTCACCGTACCAGCTGGAAATAAATGATTATTCTTGTTCAATTTTTCAAATCTATCTTCTCGTTATTTCCTGGCTAGGTTATATAAACGAGACTACAGGACGAGAATTCGTAACCTGACAACGATGCATCATGCTGTGTACGTTTGCATAATCGTGCCATATTAATTACCTTCATTGAACTACATTATATTAGATAACATCGTTTTTTTTTCATGTCTTTTCGTTATAGTCTCTCGAAGTCGTTCTAGAACCATCGACATTTTTCGTTACAACTAAAAAGGCGTTTTTAGAATTATCTAAAATAAAATTAATATTTTTTTCTTTTTCTTCTCCTTTGTACCGAGTCCCTTCAAGATGTTGGCGATCATGGCTCTCGACTATTTCCTATCCCTTGTAGCTCTTAATAAAGGTTGTCTTTTTCTTATTTCTCCTAAGCCTTTGCTCCTCCATCTATTTACACAAAATCATTCTTCTTCTTCTTCTTCTTCTTCTTTGTACTGAGTCCCTTCAGGACGTTGGCGATCATGGGTCTTCACAATTTCCTATCCTTTGTAGCTCTTGATAAATGTTATCTTTTAGTCATATCTCCTAAAATGTGCTCTGCTATCCATTTAATCAAGCTCACCAGGCAGGTGTTAAGCGTTGTTTTCCCCTGTCTCTCTTGCCTTCAATCTGTCCTTGTGAGTATCAAATTTTATAAGCTCTCTTTCCTCATTACGTATCCTAGAAATTTCAACTGTCTCTTCCCGATATTAAATATAGCGATTTACTAAGCGTAGCTTAGATGTGGCACAAGGACGAAAGTATAGAGCACCCAGTGTGAATCAAACTCACTACTCAGTAGTAATTCATCTCACAAGTCAAGCTTGTTAACCATTACACGAGGTCAAAATGGTCTGACGTTAAGTATAATTGTCCTTTTTGTTTCAATTTTCTCTAAAACCTCCTCGTTGCCCATATATTCGGTTCATGTTGTTCTCATTATCCTTCTGTAGAACCACATTTCTGTTGCTTCAAGTCTCTTCATCTGTGAGTAGATTGTCCGGCATTCACTGCTATATAGTAAGATTGATATTATGTAATAGTTAAGTAATCTTTTCTTTGTTTCTAACATTTTTTTTTCTGTTTCTTAATACTTTGCTTAGCTTTTGGAAGTCATATTTTGCTATCTCACTGAGCCTTCGTGCTTTTCTTTGAAAAATTACGTTCATTTTTTAAAATATTATGAAAAACTTTTCTGTCTTTTTTTCCTCAAATCTTTTTTATAATGCTTATTTTGCATTAGAAAAGTGTTGTGTCTTCGGTTGCATTAAGTTTGAGATTTTTTAAATTGAAAATCTCTACTGTTATTCTGTTTGTACCTACTACATTTAGGCTTCTTTAAGATTACTTTATAATATATTCCCAATTACTGGTGGACATCTAGGTGGATAGCAAGTTTGTTTTGCTTGATCATGTTTTTCAGCATTGTGACACATGTAACCTGCACTTAGAAAACCACTAGGGACACCTCGAGGCGGTGTAATGGTTAGCATGCTTGTCTCGCTAAAACAATTACGACTGAGTAGTGAGTTCGATCCTCATTGGGTGTCCTATGCTTCCGGCCTTGCGCCACATGTAAGTTACGTTTGGAAAATTACTATCTCTAATTACTGCCTGTTATAATGTCGAATCAGTTTTCTGACAGCGAAACCTACTTAATAAAGATAGTAAGTGGCAAGGAATTGGAGAAAAGCAATAGAAATGTAGTGGGGAAAGAGGATGGGAAGGGGAAAATGCAGGCAGTAAGAAAAATGAAAACCAGGGAAAAAATAAATAATATTTTCATTTTTTAACACCAGAAAAATGAAAATATTATTTTTTACTAACAGCATAATGAATAAAGAGAAGTTAAAAGTGATTTATCGACCAGAGAAACATGCTTTGACTAATCAACCTCTGTGCAGTAAATAAAGTGTTCGGTATGAAATTCCAAAGTATATCACCTGAAGAAGACCGGAGCGTACAATGGCCGAAACGTCGTGAATATGGCAATAAAGATGAGGACAACAGTCTGAATGATGTAAATAGTGTAAAAAGATGTTTCTTCTAAGCAATGTAGATATTCATAATCGCTGAGAAATTCTATCTATTGTGCTTGCTCGGTGCAGTAGGCTAAAGTTAACTTCAGTACATTCTATCTATCTATCTATCTATCTATCTATTTATCTATCTATCTATCTATCTATCTGGGCTTACTGCCATGTCACGTTAAAATACCGGTTCCCGTACGATCAGCGAACAATCAACCTGGTCAGTATCTTGATGAGTGATCGCTTGGGAATACCAGGCGCTGTAAGTTTGGATGTGCGGGTGGTGTAATCGATAACGGCTCAGAATTGTTAATCGGGGAGTCGAGTTTCAATTCCAGTTAGGTTCGTTATATTCACTTGCGTTCAAATACCCTTGGGAAAGGTATGAACCCATCTATGAGTTAATTAGTAAGACCTGTATCAATAAATTATTATGACAAACAAATAATATCTGAGAATCTAAAAATTGTTCTGGCTTTAAATAACCTTCAAAAAACGTATCAGTCAATCAATGTGTTTTGCAACTTTCTCAGAGATTGTGAACAAAACCCTTTATTCAAGCCACAGGGTTAGATTGTTCTCATTCTGCATTTCATACTTAGGGGAGATAACACAGATCAGTTAAAACTGACCAGTTTGATTCACCTTTGTGAATTTTTTTCTTCCACTAAAAAAAGAGTATGTAACTTTCCGGTTCTACCAAAACCAGGGATTGAACGATCAGGGAAACATGTTTTAACCGATGCCTTAATCCATTGAGTCCTGTGTCTTGGTAAGATATTGTAGAAAAATGCATCTAATATTCTGTACTCATATTTTAATGCCAGTAGAATGAATAAAGAGGAGAACATAAAAGAGATTTAACAGCCAAGTTAACCATGCTTTAAACCATGTTTTAACCAATGCCTTTACCCATTAAGTTTGGTTCGGTTTGATTTGTTTTACGGTACATCAACCTCAATGCCGATAAGATTTCTGCTAATATTTTTCCCAAAAATATATTGCTGGTAATATTTTTTCCCCCAAAATATATTGCTGGTAATATTTTTTCCCCCAAAAATATATTGCTGGTAATATTTTTTCCCCAAAAATATATTGCTGGTAATATTTTTTCCCCAAAAATGTATCGTTGGTAATATTTTTTTTCAAAAATATATTGCTGGTAATAATTTTTTCTTCAAAAATGTATTACTGGTAATAATATTTTACAAAAGTGTTGTTTGTTTGTTTGGGTTTTATGGTATATCAACCACTGTGGGTTATTTAATGAAAAATCCAGTTTATATATATATATGCCAAATATATGAATTTTAAATGGTTATTTTGTATGGAACATTTTTAGCAAGCTAGAGCTTATTTGCTTGCACACTGCAAAATTATCCTAGGTATTTTTGTTTAAGTCAAGAATTTCTATTTGATAAGGACAATTTATTTGCAAAATGCTAAAAGGTAGGATATGTTGTTTATACATCAGTCTACATCTTTGATGAGAGACCAATTCTTTTTAGAAAATCCAATATATTTTTCGGTTCAGTTTTTGCAAATAATTTCTTCATGTTCTTCGTGTTATAGAAATTCCACGATAATCCGAAAACGGAAGAATGCGGATCGTTAATCCGGGTCTGCTTACAGTACCAGGTGTTCCCAGGCGGTCCCCCATTTAAGTACTGACCTGGCTCTACGATGCTTAAGTTCGGTGATCGAACGAGAACTGGTGTTTTCAGCGTGGTTTGACCGTAAGTTGGCAAAGGTGTATTGCCGGTATTAAAACCTATTTTTACACGTTTCGACACCAGTTTGGGGATTAAATATCTGCCCAAAGCTGGGATCCTAACAGGTGCTACCACCCCAGGTCAGGGTAGACCCGGGAACACCAGCAATTAAGAGGTGGACTTGCTGCCGGATGTAGTTTATCGTCTTACCCAGGACGCGGATGTAGTTTATCGTCATACCAGGACTATAATCCATTAAGTCCTGTGTCTTGGTAAGGTATTGTAGACAAATTTATCTAATATTCTATTCTCAGATACTTTAATGCCAGTAGAATGAATAAAGAGTGATTTAACGCTCAGGGAAACACATGTTGTAAGCAGTACCTTAATCCACTAGGCCTTTGGACAGAAAGCATACCAGTAGACAAATTATCGCCTAATATCGCGTTCAGATTCATCTAAATTTGTCTGTCCTTCCATTCCTATCAAACAGGAACGTCGCTTCGAGATGAAGATGGGTGTTACTACTGCTATTCTTATTTCTGAGTTGACCTTATATGTGTCTGAAGAGTCAAGTCTTTAGCTCCTATGCACGTAGGTTTTGTTAGTTTTATTGATTATATCAATTATCAACCATTTTTTAAAACTGTTTCTTTGGAGCACGGATTCTTTATGCAAAAATATAAGCCGCATTACTTAAGGCTGTTAAGATAAGTCTAGGTTTATTTCAAGAACAATTATGTACAGAAATATCTCTCATTATATTTGGAAGTAGGAGGACAGGGAACTAAAGCTTTGTAGCCTCCGCGATTAGTTCACCTGTTTCTCAGTGTTCAACGTACGAAAGTACCTTCCACAATACCGTTTCATTATAGCTGTATTATTCTCGGGTATTTTTCAGTCGCTCACCAATTAATGGAATCACCTGAGTTCTGAATGTCTCTTAACGTTTAATGGAAAAATCGGCCCATAACGAGCTGTAATTGAAAGACTGAAAAGAAGAGCACTCCGTATACACTGTCGATTTGAGTCATCTTGCACTGCTTTTAGAAATCTATTGACCTCTGCTGGGACGCGTAATGCATAATTCGCTAAGTTGTGCGTTTTCAATATTCGTTTCACAATTCAAAAAGAAAAAAAAGAATGAATAATTTATTCGGTACGATTGCTAGCCGATGTCGGCGAATTACTATTTTTAAGCTTACAGGCAACGGGGTTAATAGAAACCAAAAATTGATTGGATACAGCCATAAAGAAGTGTTCAATTCATCGTTTCGGAACGAATCAGGTTGTCATTAAATCAATGGGTAATTATTTTCCTTCTTAGCTTTTGGCTAATTTCTCTGCGGCTCACTTTCACTTTCACTTTCACTTTCGTGCTGAAAGTTAAGCTCACTGGAAAATCACCCTAAATTGATACGAGCTTATATTTAAGTGAAAGAATGTTCAAAACTTTCTTCACACACACACACACACACACACACACATATACACACACACACACACACACACACACACACACACATATATATTGTGTGTGTGTGTGTGTGTGTGTGTAAAATACGCCGAGAAATTACCGTGCCAAAGACGGATATATAAAAAAAAGTCCTCAATGCACCGTCCAGGAAACCCCGGTCGTACAGAAGGGTAAAATATTTTCATCACTTTATTATATATATATATATATATATATATATATATATATATGTGTGTGTGTGTGTGTGTGTGTGTGTGTGTGTGTGTGTGTGTGTGTGTGTGTAAGTCATTTTTATGTTTATACATTCTTTTTATAGATACAAATATTTAAGTAAATGCTCAGTTTATAATAAATAGTATTAACAACATTTACAGGCCTGAATGTCCGAGAAATTTTCATTCACGCCGTTAAATGTAGTTAATACTATTTATTATAAACAGAGCATTACTTAAATATTTGAATCTATAAAAGAATGTATAAACGTAAAATGTCTTTTAAAATAATTGTCGGACTTTGTCCATTTCAAATGTGTGGCGTCATATATATATATATATATATATATATATATATATATATATATATATATATAGCTGGCCACTCGTATTCAAGGATACCCTTCTACTAGAGCGGCTAGCCAATCCCTACTGTAGACTCTCGCTCAGGCACATTGGCGTGTGTTCAACACTCACAGAGCCAAATTGTGGTTTATACTGCAACTATACTGAGCAGACCTTATTTACAGTTTCTTAGAGAGAGCGTCTTACCTAGAATGATCAACAATCTAAACAACACCAGCACACTCAAACCCTCGGTCACGATGACTTGTGATTTCGTGCCGCTATCCACTTCTCCACTTTTCCACTTTCATTAAAGACGACAGGCGATTAAGGCGATTAAGCTTTTGATTTCTAATCAAACCGGATTCATAAATAATTATATCGATCACACTATTATATGCTTATCCAGACGCCTTACGCTACACCAAGCCAACCACCACTCTATTAGAAACCATTTAAATACAAACACAAACTTATCATATTACATCCGGAACATACTTGTAGAAAATACAAACATAATAATCTCATCCACATGTAAAAAATATTAAAAATAATGGAAGCTTTAATAATAAAAAAGCCAACACTCAATAATATTAACTACGAACACGGTCACAATGTGCTGACTGTGTTCGGAAAATAAAACATCCTTATAACTCTAGAAGCATACACGGAACCCATACACCCAATTAAAAAAGCAATAATAAAATCATCCCTGATAATGGCTAAAAGTATTAGCCGAAAGCGCTCGGGATTACAGAACATTTGGACAGTTTCTACACACTCCGTGTCCAGAAAAGAAAACAC